TTTTCGAGGGATCCCTTTGATTGTTTCGTCAGTCGATGAACCATAGAATAGTGGTTTTCTATTTCTCGAACGAAAATTATTTCTATTTTATTCTCTTCATTAACTATGTATATTGCTTTTTACAGGTTACACTTGGCATCGATAGAAAATGGATAGCACTAAATACACTTACAATGGAAAATTATGGGAGGCAAGCTCCACCGTGTCGGACAAGGACACATTTTTTCATGCTGCATTTGGGGTAAAAACCAAAGATGACAATACGTATTTGGACAAACGGGTGAAATTTAGACGGATGCGCTGGGCGACTTTCCTGACTTACTTTGAAAATGAAGCTATGCCGCCTCGTCTTGCAGATATATTGAGTAAATGCTTGCGTGCTAGCGACAAATATGAACGGGCACCCGTAGAAGATCCAGACCAGTTTAACGATTACGTCTCTGATATTACGAAGGTGGAACACGACGTTACGACGGAAGAAATTGCCATTTTAGCGTCTCTGGAGAATATAAAAGTCGTTCTTTTCAAAGATAAAGAATCGGAACCAGTAACAGTTATAGACCCCGACGTTGAAATTCTTGGCAGTTATCCAAGTAGGGAAAAGCATAAAGGAGAAGCGGTTTTGTGCCTAAAGGGAAATATTTTTACCAGGATGAATCCCATCGAAGATCCTGAACCAAAATCTAATAAAAGCGAGGCCAAAGTCGTAGAAGTCGTCAAAGGTGCTAAGCCTAAGGGATTGGTTAAGTATAAAAAAGGGGGTAGTGCAGGCAGCGAGCGGGTGCAGTTCCAAGTCGGTCTGTTAACCGTATTTTTCCTCAACGCACTCCAAAAACTCAAAGACTGGAAACTGTCGACGGAAAATAAAGCGGCGGGAAAGTTCGACGACGCGGTTCTGGAATGGCCCGAGGGTGCCACTTTGCTGCAAGCTAAACATAAACAGAGCAGGACGAAGAAAATCACTTTCGAAGAACTGATCTCGGCCAACTCGAAGAACGGCGATTTCAGCCTTCCGAAATATTTCTTATCTTACGAAGAGATCAAGAAAACGTTCAAATTAAGGGACGTTATTATTTGCACTAATGCTAGTGTCGACGGAAAGGCTATGAAGTTTCTAAAGACGCAGAAAGTTCCCCCCGAGAGCATGCTGCATTACGAAAATTGTGACTGCGAGTTTTACACATTTAAGGACGAAATTTTGCCCTGTTTAAAAGAAAACGTGAAGAGTTACTATGAAAAGAATTCCAAAAATAAAGGCGTCGACGTATCGGTGATTACCGAAGAGAACATAAAAAACTTTTTGGGACATTTACGACTTTATTCAAATTACCCCCCAGGAAACGACGTCTGCAAAGTAACTGAACAATTACTCTCTCGCATGAAACGACTGCAGAATCTGCACGGGCAAATATCCCCCTTGGAAATTCACACCAAAATACTAGACTGGTTCCAGGAGGAAGACGGCGTATATTTAACGGAGCTTTACGCCAAAGCTATATTCTCCGAGATTGGTACTGATAAACATTGGCAACGGTTGGAGAAATATAACGTGTTCTTCCACACCGACGACTTAAACTTCCAAAAGTCTAAAAAGATGGTCCATGTTACCGTAGAAGGCGCATATTTATTGCAAGAAATAAAAATCTTTCGCGCCTTGCAGGATAAAACGAAAATTCTGTTTGTTAACCCTGACGATGGTGCCGTAAAACAGAAACAGGTGTTGGAGGCTTTTGGCCTGCCCCAGTACACTATTTTAGTCTTGGTTTGGTCAAAGATTACAGAAGAGTCTGTAATGGAAGAAGTAAGTTGCAAGCTGAGGGAAATTTTAGATAAATATGGGTATAAAAAGGTCGTGCTGGTGGCAGATTGTAACAATAAAATTCCTCACTTTGTCGGATTAAGCCCCCATAACTACGACGTCATAAGTGATTCTATTACATTCGAAGACCTGTCAGAGGACTCCCAGGAGAGGTTATTGAAGAAGGAGAATATAGTGTTTCAAGGAAAAGACGTCAGTTTAGAAGAACTGTTGGCAAAGCCAACAACTGAAGACTATGGGAAATTTTTGGATTCCGAAGTATTGGAAAAGCTGGTTAGAGACGAAAAGATCAATGTAGGGGCACCACCTTTAGGTCTAGATGAGGAAAGTACTCGATTCTACGTAAAGCGCCACTTTAAGATCATGAAAAACAGGAATGGGGGTGGAAGGTTTGCAAAGAGAAACGAAATTTTCCATGAAGAATGGATCTGCGAGATGAACGAAAAAGTAATGTTAATATCTGACGTGGCTGGTATGGGAAAGAGCACCGTTTTAGCCAGCTTAGCAGCCACAGTAAAGAAAAAATATCCCCACCTGTGGGTCATCCGGATCGATCTCAACGGTTACACGAAGGTTCTAAAGGATTTTTTGGAGAAACACAGAAAAACAATAAATGTACTGGACCTGTTAAATTCCAAATATTCAACAAAACTGACGAACCACTTGGAACGATCAACGTTTTCGATGAACGCAAAAGTGGTGCTGATGTTGGACGGGTTCGACGAAATCAGCCCGGATTACACACAACTCGTCCTAAATCTGCTCGGTCTTTGCCGGAAACAACGAAACTTTGCGAAAATATTCGTTACGACCAGGCCGCATGTCGCTCGGGAATTGAAAGGAACGTTAAAAGTAGAACCATTTACCTTGGAACCATTTACGGAACAAAATCAAATCCATTTCCTCACGAATTACTGGATGAATAATTTAAAGGTGTCTGATACAAAGAGAGACGTCTGCGAACGATACGCCCAAGCGCTGATAGACAAGTTGTCTTTCTGGGTGCAACTTTTCCACCTCGAGACAAATGACTTTGCTGCGCTGCCGCTACACGTACGGATGCTAGCGGAGATTTTTCAAGAAAAAGATCGGTTCGTAATGCCGGAGAGTTGGGAAGGCTGTAAGGAATATTTGGTTGCAGACGCTGATGAACCGAAATTGCCGGAAAACATGGATGTGGCGAGGCTGTACAAAATGTTCATAGAAAAGAAACGGAGTGTGTTTATCGAGAAAGGAAATCCTACTGGCAACACTGCAGCGAGACAGGCCCTCAACGAACAATTTGAGGAATGTCTCGTTTATCATAGGAATCTGGCTCTAGAATTGATACTGAACAAAACAAATCTTGAACTCTTCTCGTGTTATCAACAAACTTGTAACGTACTTTGCTCGGTTGTCAAATTTTTGTAACACCCTTTATATATGGTTTTGAATTTGCGGTGGTGACGGTTCGGTTCAGACGTTACTTGTGGCTGCCCCCGGTATACTACCAACTCTAAACGGAATCTTAATTCACAATTGCGAATTCTAATTTACTAGATTTATTGACGTCACTGACGTCCCTATTTGGACGCCTAATTTTATGACGACCCTTGACTACTAGTTTATCGGCAGCGGTGGTTGGCAGCCGGCGGTGGTGAGTGACGTCACAGGAACGTACTCCGGATTAAATCTTTTTGTGCGGTTTTTGTCTCGGGCGCCAGTTTCCCAATCGGTTACGTGGGGGAAACTCCACGTGAAACCTACCCTCGGTTTAGAGTAAGTACTCGGGATAGCTGCAGTGAAGAAAGTTTAATTCCAGGGGTCTGTTATATTTCTCTTAATTTCAAGCAAAGTAGTTCTCTGAGTGTAGTGTTATTTTCCTTTCAAAATAAACGGTCTTATCAGTGTAGGTCACAAAAAGATAAGCGGACCCCTTTTTTACTGATCGGAATTTTATCAACTTTGTCGGCGTTAAGAATGAATACAAACGGGAATTATATTTACTAGATTTATTAATCAGGCCTATTGAATTTGAAACAAACAAACAAAAGTAAAACAGATTCTAATTACAATTATTATTACTAACTAAAACCAGGAATATACAATAAATTTACAAGCGGTGTAAGAATGAAATAAAATGGGTTAGAGCAATTATTTGCGACGGGTTTAAAAATGCCGATACGGTTTTCGGAGCTGTAAATAAGTACAAATTAGTCAAATATCAGGACACAAAATCGGTACGGTAGAAAACGGAGTCTTTGGCGTTTGGTTTATTTAATAAACAATCTAAGACTTTACGAAACGGTACGCCAGAATAATATTCGGTTTTAAATTTCGGTCGGTGCTAGAAAGGGAAAAATAAGATTAATAAATTAGAGCAATAAATAAATTGTTCCCAATGGTTCTGAAACAGAAAAATAATTACGGGTGACTCTAATTCTACAAATAAATATCGGCGGCAGTTTCTAGCAAAGCGACGGAAATTAAGCGGAAATGCGACCAGCCAGGAGAAAAAGCCAAGCAAAGCGGTTTATATCAGGCACAAATAAGCAAACGGTAATCAGGAAAATGATGTTGTTGGTAAACAGGAGGCAAAGTCTGGACGAGGTGCGAGTTCAAATGCGGGGCGGCCGACAGACTTCTCCCGGAAGCGGTGGGTGGCCCAGCCAAACTTCGGGGGTCTATCCGTCGTTGCACAGCCGACACACAACGTCTTCTACTGGCGGTGGGTGGCCCAGCCAAACCAGCAGTTTCGGTTATTGTGCCCTACAGCGTTTATCTAGCTTGGGCGGTGGGTGGCCCAGCCAAACCTTCGCCGACAACGCTGCTGCTGTACACTTCGACACCTTCACGTCTTCTACTGGCGGTGGGTGGCCCAGCCAAACCAGCAGTGTCAGTAAAGGGGCTCACAACGTTTGTCGAACGAGGGCGGTGGGTGACCCAGCCAAACCGTCGCCGATAACGCTGCTGCCGTACGGACCTGCACTCAACGTCTTCCACTGGCGGTGGGTGACCCAGCCAAACCAGCAGTTCGGTCGATGTGACTAACAACGTTCGTCGAACGAGGGCGGTGGGTGACCCAGCCAAACCTTCGCCGACAACGCCGTGGTCGTACTGTCTTGCCAGAGTTCAAAACGGCCAGACTTGTACCATAGCAGGACAAGTGAGAATAGGAAAATACAATTTGCTTACTTATTCCGGACGGTTGCTTCTGGCGGCTAACTCCTTGGGTCGGGTGGCGGTCTCTGGTCGGTCTTCAGGTCTTCGGGGTGGTCCTCGGGCTGGTGTTGGAACTGGAGCTCTTCGAGTTCTGGCAGCGAACTCCTTGGATCGGGTGGCGGTCTCTGGTCGGTGTTCAGGTCCTCGGGGTGGTCCTCAGGTTGGCGTTGGAGTTCTTCGAGTTCTGGCAGCGAACTGAGGATCTTCGTGCAGGAACGGTGGTTTTATTGTCCCAATCCCCCCTTGACTAGGCAGGAGTCGTGGTGGGACTATGCGCGCGGCCCTCGACAGAGTGGGGCAGCGGACGGTTTCGGCTCGACTCGCGGTTAATTGCTCTCACCCAATTAAACTAATTAAATAAATAACTGGCCAGCGGCCTTACACAAATCGGAAAATAATAATGCTTCATTACATCCTCCCAGGGACTTGGAAATGAACGTGTTGAAAATAGGCATCATACAAAAAAAAGATAACGAACTGCACTTTGTTCATAGAACGTTTGCGGAGTACTTTGTCGCAGAAAGTCTAATAGAGGAATTGCGACTCGGGAATCAGAACGTGGATTTCCAAAGGTTTCTGATTGAAGAAATACTAATAGAATATCATTTTAGCGTTACCCGTGCTTTCCTTAATGGTTTCCTGTACCAGGTCGTAGACGATTTATCTTCCAAAACTTTTCAGAAATATCAACACTTCTCGTACAAAAGTACCTCCTTTGACACGCTCAGCTCGGATTTACTTCATCGCCTCGTAGAAAAAGGTCACGTGGCGATTGTTCAACTTATTTTGAAGTGCGTAGACTTCAATATTACCGCGGGAATGCGAGACCAACACCTCGAAGCCCCTTTTACAGAAAGCAATCCAGATAATATACTGAACACTATACGTACCCGCTTACGACAAGAAGGGTTAGAAATTAAAGATGCTCTTAAAGGTGCAACACTTCTCGAATCTGCCATTATGTTTGACCGTTTGGAAATGGCCAAGTTTCTACTGAAACAAGGAGCCAACGTAAAGAACGTTGACTTCACACACCTCCTTCTATCCGCGGAATGCGGCCAGTTTGATAGGTCTAAATTCTTGATAGAGCAAGGGGCAGACATCAGAGCGAAATATCCCATCCACCGCACTACTGTACTGTACAAAATTATTCAAAGAAACAACCCTGATATGGCCGCTTACGTTCTGGATACGATCTTGACGAGCGATGGTTTATATCTAAGCTATCCGATTATTCCTTACACTGCAGCTTATTTGGGCAGATTAGATATGCTTAAAAGGCTCATGGAACAAGGCCTGGATGCCAACAGTCAAGTGGAAAACGGCGAGACTATGATTTTCGGCGCCGCTCGTGGGGGTAAACTAGAAACGATCAGATATCTGGCGCGGCAAGGGTGTGACTTAAACAGTAAGGACTGCTGGAATGACACTGCGTTGCATATAATCTCAGGAGATTCCTCGCTCTTCTCCACCGCCAAACTACTTGTGAAGTTGGGGATATGCTTTAACGCTGAGAATTTGAACTCTGCGACGGCGTTTCACTTTGCGGTAGAAGCGAGTAATTTCGATTTGGTTAAATTACTTGTGAATCGTGGCACGGACGTGAATTTGAAAGACGGAAAGGGGAGTACTGCTCTCCACGTAGCCGCTTCGAATATTCAAGGGAATATCGTGAGATTCCTCGTGAAACACCATGCGAATATAAACAGTAAAGATAAAAATGGCCGCACGGTCTTGCATCTGGTTATTTCAAAAGGTGCTGCCCTTGATAATACTTGGTCTGTTAAACGTTCCCAAAACTACATACTCGCGGATCAGTTACACATTATCAAGTTCTTCATAGACACTAAAGGAGATATCAATATTGAAGACGCTAGTGGTTATACCGCGTTACATTTGGCGGCTGCGTCCGGTCAATTGGAGATCGTCCAGTTGCTTATAGAATCCAAAGCCAACGGCGATATTAGAGACAGAAATGGCAGAACCGCCCTACATTTAGCTGTTTTTAGGGGTCACCTAGACATCGTCGAATTCCTCGCGCGGCATGAAGTAAACGTGAATATTAAAGACAAATACGGCCACACGTTAATACATTACTTAGTACTTTCCACGGATCACTTAGACGTACTTAAATTAATTCTCGAAGGTGGCGGAGACGCTAATCTTCAAAGTAAGAACGGTCGCACGGCATTACATTTAGCCACTGATAGCAATAACTTAGATGCCGTTAAACTCCTTGTGGAGTTTGGAGTTGATTTTAATATTAAGTGCAGCGGTGGCAACACTGCATTGCATACGGCCGTCAAGAAAGGTTACTTCAGTATCGCTGAATATCTGATAAGAGTCGGCGCAGATACCACTGTTAGAAATCATTTCGGATGCACAGCACTGCATTTCGCTGCTAATAGAGGGGATTGGGCAATAATATCAATGCTTGGGGGAAGGGATTATATGACACGACAAATGGATACTTACAGAGATAGATCGGATTTCATCAAAATTCTTGAGTGTGGAGTAGACGTTGGTACCACGGACAATAATGAACTGTTCTTAATGAACATCAGGAGTAGAGAAAGGAAACTATATTTGGACATCGTTAAGATTCTCGTTGCGGGATGTAGTGAACTTGTTAATGTTAAAGACTTGACTGGAAGCACAGCTTTGCATTTGGCCGTCTTAAAAGGTGATTTAGAAGTGGTGGAGTTTCTTGTGTCACACAATGCGGATGTTAGCATCAAAAACTATTGTGGTCTTACCGCGGCACAATTGGCTGTTGAAAATGAAAGGCCAGACATGGTCAAGTTACTTGTGAAGGCAGGTGCAGATGTTAGTACCTGAGATATTGACAGTTGCATGGGCATCTTGTACAGTCCATATAATGGGTTGTTCCCATTTTTTCATTCATAAGAAAAATGTTGTAGTCTATCCTGTAGAAACAGTCAAGTTGTTAGAATGTGGCATGGAGGTGGTATATATACATACAACCATGTGGTCGTATGGCATTCATTTAAGAGAAACTTGGATTAGCTTAATACTTTTTGAAGGAAAATAAAAATTATATCTTACTCTGAAAATAAATTTTCCGGAGCATATTCAAAAATTCAAATAACATGTTTGGCTTTTTGAGAAACATTTTACTGTTCTTCATATGTTCTGAGTCACTAATATTATATACATTTGAGTATTATCTTTTAAATGTGATTGTTTATATCCTACCATGGGCTACAATCATGATTGTTGCTTTCTAAATTCGATATTCTGTGGTTAAAGTTGGAACAAATTACAAAAAATAGTGTATCATTTTTACATAATGAATTTTTTAACATCAGAATTCCCATCTTTCATTTTAGACAATTTGAAACTTTATTTGTCAGCAGTTAGTATAAATATCCTGAAAAAATCACCAGTGTAGGTGTCCATACTTAGTTTGAATATAAGATCAATGAGATATGAATTTTTATTTAATTGTAATATTGTTAGATATCAATTACGGTGGCATGTTTGTGTATTAATGTTTCTATGTGATTAGTTTGTGCCATTAGTCCAGATGGTATCTGTTTCAAAAAGTCCATATTTGGGTGAATCGTATATCCACGGAGATTTTTGGCTTTTTCGCTTTCAAATATCACTACAAATGAAAATTGTTCTATGCGCATAAAAAAAAGCATGGGCTTAACTTTTGGTGGCACAATATGTTAAAAAAATTCGAAAAATGTCATATTTTTCTTCCTATTATGTATCTTTTCAAGTTAATTTTAAGCGAAAATGGAAGAGGAAAAAAATGTTTGTAATTAAATTTTTTTACAAAATATGACTTGTTCCAGATCGAATGAATCATTGTAAAAATCGAAAAAATTGCCAAAAATGGGGTTAAAAAACATTACTTTCTAGGGAATTTTTTTTGGGGTCTTTAAATTGGGTATAGGACCTTTGTATTTGGCTCAAGAAGACTTCATGTTATGTAGAATCATCACACCAAATTTCATCAAAATCGGTTGGATAGATTTTGCATAATAATTTTGCAATCCAAATTTTGAAAAAAAATTTGCTATTTTTCAAAATTTTGCGCAGCAAAAATCAAGGCCTTAGATACTTGAAAATTTAATCACATATGGATGGGCTCTCAAGCTTTCAAACGCTTTTTGAAAAATACGAATCCGTCAGTTAGGAGAGCTCTGGCGCTTGTTTAAACATTGGTCGAATATTTGTACTTATAAACAATTAGAATAACTTTGTGAATATTCAACCAAATCAAATTTTTTAAGATAGGTTTTAAAAGTTATTGGAAAGACGCTTCTTTAAAAAAAAACAGATCGATTGGTCAATTAGTAGTTATAGCAGATCAAAGTTAACCGTCATTTACGCTAAGTCTACTGGGACATCCGGGCAAATTTTTCGAAAAATACAAGCATTTTTTTCCTCTTCCATTTTCGCCTAAAATCAACTCTTGAAAAGATACATAATTAAATGGAAGAAAAATATAACATTTCAAATTTTTTAACATACATATTGTGCCGCCAAAAGTTAAACCCACATTTTTTTTATGTGCATAGAAAATTTTCATTTCTAGTGATATTTGAAAGCGAAAAAGCCTAAAATCCGTGGATATACGATTCACCCGAACAGATACCGCCTAGTCTACATTTAATTTTAGATGGAATAATTATGAGATTGTTACATAGCAATTATTAATTATTGTATTATTCTGCTACCAATTATTTTTATTAGATGTTATTGGTTTTATAATTTTTTTGAATTTTTATAGTATTCTTACTCATGTTCATAACTTTTCTCCTGTATACGGATTTTTTACTGACAGGAAATTGAGTATGTAATTCCATTTTATATCTGATGTAAAACACTTTTAACATAATTGATAAAGATGTTAATTATTGAAAATGAGTGTACAGGGTGATTAAAAAGTAATTGATAAATGTTTGTCTAATTTAGTTACAAATTGAATAAAATATATTTTACTATGTGACAGTATTATTACTGAAGTTTATTCCTTCTTTAATACAAGGCGTTTAGAACTGAATGGGCCACATTTCAAGAATATTTTGTTTGTAATATGCAGTACCAGTGAATTTTCACTCATGTTTTCGAATACTCGTAACAATCCTTCAAGAAAAGTCCCATGATGTAAGAATCCAAACCCACAAGGTGTCATTGTAATGCGTTTAATTCATAGATTTGAAACTATACTATGGATGAGCGTACAAATGTGATGTAATGTGAAAAACCAGTTTTAAAGACAAATGACAAAATATATACCTATTATGAATTCTCATGAGAAAAGAAGATTCAAAATGAAATCCGTCATCTCTAAGATGTGTGTTATTAATTTCTTCAGAGTAAATATTCTTTTTTATCCTACCTCAAAAAGGGAAGTCTATTGGATCAGGAACATGAGCATTTTGGCTTCGTGCGATCCAGTGATTTGGAAATAATTTATTAATTAAGAATTTAAATTGCCGTTTGCAATGATATGTGGATCCAACTAAATGGGGCTCCACCTAATAATGTTGGAAATTTGTCAGTTCTTAATCAATTATCTCCAAACCGTTGAAGAGACAATATCAGAATGCTCCTGTTATATGGTCACCAGAACCTCCAGATTTTAATCCAATGGGTTTCTTTTTCTGGGGGAGGATGTTGTTTACGCTGAAGAAATAATACATAATATCTCCATCTCAGAGATAGAATCCTCATGGTGGGTGACGAACACCGACAGAAAGATGTGTACATAATTTTATTTATAATAATTTATTGAGAATAATAATAAGATGATAATGATAAGAAAAAATGAATGCATTTGAGATTATTAGGAATATTGTATAAAGTATATACATTTAATTTGTATGCTTTGATTTTCTTTGATTCTTATTGAAAATTTATTCAAGTCTCAAATTACAAGATATATTCTGCTTAAATTCAGTGTACATTATGTACAGTGTGGTATTTGTAAGTAGACTTTATCTTTTAAATTTGACAATTGGCCAAATAAATTTTACTTCACTTCTCTACTAATTCTACAAAAAGAAAACAAGTACCTAAGTAGTTTTTAAATAAGTAAATATTGTATTAAGTAAAAAACGCAAATAAATAATAAAAATAATTGATATTTTTTCAACAACAATCAGAGGAAGTTGTTGAAATAATATATTTTTATTATTAACTGACAAGTGTGAAAGATAAATTACATTGCTATACTACTGATTTTTCGATTATTTTCTAATAAACACTGTTAAAATCTTGTTTCAGTTAATACGGTTTTTCTTGAAAACCATACTTTTTTTAAAATTTAACAAGAGTAAAAAAAAATTTAAAATTAAATTCAGCTGTGAATTAATAACTATTTTTCAATTTGGTCAATGAAAAAACAATTTGGTACAATTTTAGGGGTGTCATCCCCAATGAACACCTTGTAGTGCTTCAATTAACTTTAAATCATAGTCAAAGAAGACTAGTAATAAACCTAAATCATGTACCAAATTTGATTCTTCTGCGGTAAAGTGTTGCAGAGATATTATTTTTTTTCGAAATTTAGGGCCTCACTTTGGGGGCTCATAACTCCTCAGGGGTGCAACTTTCTATATAGGTAAGTTTGGTTAAATCACAATATTTTGGACACCCCTACATGCTCCTGCCTTGTATCGGTTCTTATGTGGGACACCCTGTATATGGTTTGTCGTGAAACAGTATACTTCATATCTTAGTCGATTTTATGACTAATATGAGAAATTATGTGATTTAACTCGTGGTACTTTAAACTATATTTAAACTTTATTTGAAAGTTCACACATCTACTTACAACAGCATTTTTAACATCACACTTATATTTCTGAATTTCCAATGGGACTCTGTGTTTCAGTACGTGATGTACAAGGCGATATTTATATACAGTTGTATAACGGCAGTCGTTGCACCTGTACATTTGATCTTCTGAAAGGTCTTTGTGCCTTAACTGATGGTATTTAAGGCAAGACATATAGCTTGTTTTATGATCACATGAATCACACTTGTACTTTCGTCCTTTGGAAGAACTTTCATGTATCAACCGATGAGACGTAAGATGATACTTATACTTGGACTCATAATCGCAATCGCTGCATTTATACGTTTTTATTTCTGAAGGGTCTTTGTGCGCGATTCGATGGCGATAAATAGAGGACCTGTACTTCATCTCGTAATCGCACAAATCACACTTGTACATTTGCACCGCAAAGGGGTCCTTGTGTTTCAACTGATGGCTCCTAAAGGAAGACTTGTAATTCGTTTCGTAATCACATGAATTGCAGGTGTATTTTCGTGTCGTGCGAGAGCTTCTGCGTTTCGTTTGATGCCGGATAAGGTTGGTTCTATACTTTGTCTCATAGTCACATTTATCGCAATTGTACATTTGAAACTACGAAGGTTCTTTGTGCTTCAACTGGTGGCAAGTCAGGTTCGTCTTATATTTTGATTCGTAGTTACAAGTGTTACATGTGTACAGCGGCATTTCCAAAGGTTTCTTTTGCATCAACTGGTGTCATTTTAAAGAACTCTCATGCCTGGTTGCGAAATCACACGTGTCATGTGTAATTTTGTGTTACATAAGAACAGTCGTGTACTAACCGATGAGATGTAAGACTGTATCTATTCTTCGTCTCATAATCGCAGTCGCTACATTTATATGTTAACACAGCCTTTGTGTTTGGAGAGGTGACGTTTAATGCTGGATCTGTATTTTGTTTCAAAATCACAAATGTCACATTGGTACAATCGTGCTTGGGATGGGCTTTTGTGTTTTTCCTCGTGCTGAATGAGGCCAGTCCTGTACTTTGTTTCGTATTCACATTTATCACACCTGTACATCGGTACCTGGAATGCGTCTTTATGCCATATTTGATACTTCTCTAGTAACTTCTTGCTCTTAGTTTTGTACTCACACATTTCACATTTGTACACTTGCGAGATGTTCTTTTGTCCATCACGGCTCTCACTTTTGATTTCGAAAATATTTGTATCGTATTTGTACAATGCTTTACTCCATGTAAATCCTTTTAATGGAAAATTGTTCTCCTGATCATTCCTATCACATTCATTCACTGAACTATTAACTGTCGATACATGTTTAATGTTTTCTTCTGCATATTTATAGTTACCGTTTTCAAAAGTTTCATTATTCGAGTACCACAGCAGGACGTCACTGAAAAAAATTACATAATTGAAGCTAAATTTACAATATTCCGGCAAAACGAATTTAACTAAAAATTAAGCACCAAACATTAAATAAAAGTTCGAGTTTTTAAAAAATTTATATTTTTTGCACTATTTATTAAATATTAACTAATATTGGTATGTAGATACTATGAAATTATAGAATAACGCACCCAAGATTGAAGGACACAAACAATTTTAATTCACAATTAATTAAAAAGTAGTGTTTATTTCACCATTAGCAGTTTCAAAAATTCAAATTTAAAAGGTGAAATACAATATTAAACCAGTCCTTTGTTACCTCTCTTCCTCACCTTCCTCTGATTTTATCTCGACACATTCAGTTTTGATCGACATTTCCATCTCGTTAAATTCAAAGTCTTTGTCCATGTTTCCAGTTTTTGTGAATAAATCAAATGATGAATCTCCTGTTTGTCTCTGTAGTGGAACCATTACAAACACATCGAATTTTTTTTTTTTAAATACCATGCATGGTCAGAGAAAAAAAGCATGATGATACCTTGACTTAAATTCTATTGCTGCATTCAATTCTCTTCTGCAAGCATTACATATCACCTCTTTGCTCCCGCCATCAAATTTCTGAAATATAAATTTAACTAAGTGGATGGAAAATAAAAGTGGCAAAAAATTACGATTTACTACGATCTGAGTACATACATATACTGAACTTATAACCTCAATTAAAAAAAAAGTATTTTGTTCCTTCTTCTTCTTCACTTTTATGGCCTGCACCTTTGAGTAACTGGGTAGCGCAAGCTAGTAGTTCCGATAACAATTTTTAACCAATCAGGTGCTCTGTAGATGTACCGGAGACAATTAAATATAATTGTAACGATGAAACCGCAATTAGTCCTTCTATTAAAACTAAACAGATTGCAATAAAAATTGAAGAAAACCACGAAAATAAGTAAGCTTTAAAACATTTTTGTACGTTCTAGATTAATTTAATTTGAAAGTTAGTTTATGTACATGATTATAATTTCTGTTAAGAACATCTCTAGCTGTTTTCAGAAAAGTAGTTATTTACACAAATGCATCAAAAACATTTTTGTCATTAATAGCAACTTTGTCCCATGAGTGAAAAAAAAGGTGTCGTATCGATTGTTCTAAAAATTGCAGTGTAATTTTATTACATACATGCAAGATAGATTTTTTATACTGGTATGAAAAAGGATTAAAAAAAAACGCCAAACTGTGTTCTAGATCTCTAGACTCTATGTTTATCAAAGTAAAAGTAAAATTCAAAGAAAAATTAAAAAATGCAATATATAGAGCGTCCCAAAAAAATAAAGTTAGGTAACCCCCAGTAGAACTGGGATGGTCTGTATAATTGAGTTTAAAAAACAAAAAAATTAAATTGACGTAATATCTCTGTATATAACAAATCAAATCTGCTGGTATATGTAATATAATAGGTCACATACCATGATACAAATAAATTTCATATTAAACTCTCAAATTTTATTCAGTTTTGTATGATTTACAATTTTTCCAGTGAAACTATCCTGTATATTGAAAATGAGCCTGTTGACAGCCAATCTATGGACAAAGATGGTCCAAAATCTCAACAACCAAAACCTGAGGACCCTTTAGATGTGCCAAAGCAGTCGGTAGATAAAAACTTCTCCAAAGTACCGGTTTACAAATGTGATTTATATGAATACAAAGCTACCGCAGGAGTAACCTCTTACGTCACGAGTTGATACATAAAAACACTTCTGAACTGCAGTGTGATGAATGCGATTATAAAACCAAACTGAAATATAACCTTATACACCATCGGGTAAAACACAAAAATACCTCTAAGGTACAAGAGTACAAATGTGATAAGTGTGATTATGAAAGTAAAAGAAAGAGCGACATTATAAGCCACCGAATAACACACAAAAACCTTTCCGGAAGACGATCGTACGCATGTGATCAGTGCGAATGCGAATTCAAACACAAGGGCAATTTCTTACGCCACCAACTTAAGCACGAAAACGTTTCCGAAGTGCGATTTTACAAATTTGTGATATTGTGGTTAATTTAGCCAGTCACTTCTAATTTAACTGCACCTAGTAGAATCTAGTAAATTGTTGCCGTAAATTTAAATTTGGTATCTGCAATTTAGCGATTAATAAAACATACCATTTCTATAGCGGATTCAGTTTGAATTTGAGTATACTACTTTATTTGTGGAAAAAATTTAAATTGCACTGTATCTCAAATATGCAATAAGTTGTGGTACCTAAAAATAGGTCAATCTAGGTAGATTTAAAGACTTTCAGCCAATGCATTAGATATACAGGACTATAAAAATCAATGGCCAATACCATGTAAATGAAAAATACATCAGTTGACCTTTTGGAACTTAAAAACAGTACTCAATTGGTTGAATTTAAAATTCCCCTGTAGCCTGATTTCAGATTATAATTTAACAGACAATTTAAGTTAATCGTGGTATGTAAAATATGCACTATCACATTTACATGTGGTATATACTGTGTGTAGTCTAAATGTCAACTTTACCTTAAATACTTTTGTCAAGTTTGAAGCTGGAAGAAACGTTACCTGTTATGCATAATAAACTTGATGATGTGATGATGTGAATATCTTTACCACAAGCCACAACCGCTCTGTATTATAAAAAAAACTACGAAAAGTTACATTTTCATGCCAATAAATGCCACGTCAATCTTTCTCTTAGGTGACATCATCAGATATGCGTAGACTCGTCATTAATTCACACCATAGGGCCTTTCGATTTGGCAAAAATAGTAACTATTAATAGCTAATAGCAACTTAGATTTACTCTGAACTGATATTAGTTACTAATAGGTACTATATTTGCCAAAAGGAAAGTCCTCCATGTATGTAAATTTCACCAGTGAACTTTATAGTTTGATGCAAATAATCGCGCTCTGTGATCGAAAGAGATAAAAAAAACCTTAAAATACACATCATTTGTGATTGAAATTGGATATATGACACTACGTGACCTAAATTGTTTGCTATACTTGCAGTCTCGCGCCATTATTCTATGGCTAGAAATTGGCCTCAATGATTTGGGATCGAGGGGGATTATCCCTCTTTATCCTGCCTCATCTCGTGTAGGCCTGGACAGCCTTCGTAGGTGGGCCCCATCCGTCGTCTACCCCGACCGCAAATGCGGCCGGTGTAGGCGCTTTGTGGGACCTCCTTTTGTCCTGGCTGGGCCCCGCCGGCTAGGGCCCTTTCTTCTGGCGCTCTTCTTGCTTCGCCGGCTCGTCTGTGTAAACCCCGGGGGTAGTGTCATGTTTATGTGTGGTATGGTTGGGTAGGGTAGTGCGGCTATGCAGCCTGGGATGCGCTTTGCTAAGGTGGCCCTTAGGCTAGCGCGGGAGGGGAGGGTTAAGGAGGGTAATGGGGGGTGTGTATGTGTGTGTGTGTGTGTCGTTGTCTTCGTTTCTTGACCCTGGCTGTCTCTGAAACAGAAAAGGTTAGCGGGCAGGGGGGGGGTCATTGGGGTGGTCACCCAGGGTCAAAAAGTTGGTGTCTAGGTCTTTTATGTGCTTGCAGTCTATGATGATGATGATAAGGCACAGAAGATCAGTATCTGTTACGCTTCTTAGTTCTGTACATCAATGGCATCGAATGGGTGTGGCGGGAACATGTGAGGTTAGGAGTGTTTATTTTCTTAAAATTCAAATGGAAAAACTCGAAAAACCTTTCTGTTGGCTTTGCCTCAAAGTCATAAGTGAAGAAAATTTCCGAGTAATAGATGAAACTATTAGAGAAGTTCTAAATGTTCTCCTGTTGAAACTAGTAGGAAAAAACGTATGTTAATTGGGTCATCCCATGTATTTTTTTAAAAGTCTTTTCTAAATCATAGTGTGTATTCTAGAGTATTGAAGGAAACGCCATGCCTGTGGTGTGCGATTCCTGTTCCGTGAAGCTGTTAGCAGCTTACGAGTTCAAGGTAATCTGTATGGGCACCGAGGACATTATCGTTCCTTATGTTAATTCTGAAAATGGAGTACCGGTCGATTTAAGGAAGGTTTATTTAAAGGAAGAAGGTAAAGAACATTTACAAACCATATTGGAGGATAGGAAAATTTGCCGGTTGTGTATGCAGAGCGTCGCCCACGGATTCACTTCGTTAAAAGATGCACAGACTGATATGATCCAAAAATATATTCCAGAAGTCGTACGTATAGCTTATATTTAACACAATTTTTTAAATTTTAGCTGGTTAAAATAATATGATTTTCTCCTAAACCAAAAACTATATATCTGTATATCTAGATTGACCCTACTCAAAAAAACCAAAGATTGTAGTAAAACATTTCCCTAAAATCGTAAATAAAAATTTTTTCCCATATGGTGCAAATTTTACAATGGCTACAGTATAATTTTTGAAATAATCATACTTTGTTTAACATTTGCTTGGGAAAAATCAGTAAAGAAATTAGAAAATAGCAATGACTGAAAATTGGAAGCCGATAAAGCTTATATCTCCAGTGAACTGGAATTTTTTTTAAATCTTGAAAGTCTGGGAATCAAGGAAAGTTTTGTTTAAAATTTAGTGTACACTTTGATCCAAATACCTCTGAGGATGTTCATCATACATTGATAAAACTTGGACTGGTGACATAGCTAATGAAAGCAAAAGTAGTATTTTGGAAATGCTATAAATGCACTTTAACTGGAAACAGAGCCACATTTTAAAGATACATTATTATTAGTACATGTTTCATCAGTAAATGCATTCAGAGATACCCGAATATGATCCCAAATGTGACATATTTTTAAAAATTCCTTGCTTTGTATACTTCAAACTTAGATCTTTAATTTTTTAAGGCCTTTTAGTCTAAAATGGTCCATGAAAGAATCTCCTGAAGTTATATTTATATCCTGTTTATGAAATTATTTATCAAACAATGAATATAAAAAGGTTGATCTTTTGCAGAATTTCAGTTCCACGAAAGAACCAGTTATTTGTTCCATCTGTCTCGATTCGCTGAACACCCACGGCACCTTCTTAAAGAACTGCTTAGATCTACAGGAGAATATTAAATATACTCGTGACGAAAAAACCATGATGAATCCCTTCTCTATTAAGACTGAACAGATCGAAATAAAATTTGAAGAAAGCCACGAGAATAGGTAAGCTTCAAAACATGAGTATTTAAAAATAACTGTTTTACAACTGTTATAACTGTACATTTGTTTAATTGTGTCAAGTATCTTTATAGCTGCCAATAAGAAAGTCCTAACATGCAGATTTCAATAAACTATGTCATCACATTCAGGGTGAATCTCAATTGTGTACATTACAGTACAGATTAGTAGTTTATTTTGCCAAAAATTAATTTGGGAGGGAAAAAACATGCATTCAACTTTCATCTTGTATTTTGTGCCTCTTTATACTTACACAAAACTATTGAAAATTAGAAAATGACTACATATTAAATATTTTAAACAGATCTTATTAAAATATTAAAAAAAAATAGGCAATGACTATTTTCATATTAAACCGAGTTTGTTTTATTTTTGCATGATTTGTAATTTTTTCAGTGGGGCTGCTCTCTGTAACGACGACCAATTCGTTGACTGCAAAATCAAGAGCGAGATGGGTCTAAAGTCCCCAAAACCAAAACATGAGGACGTTGGTGAAGATCCTTTAGATGTACCAATGTATAGCTATTACGATCACGAAACCGCATGTATGGAGCATCATCCGATAGACAAAGACGTCTCGGAAGTGCAGTACCCGTGCGACAGATGTGACTATAAAACTAACCGCAAGGGTACCCTCCTACGTCACCAGCTGATACATAAAGACACTTCCGAACTGGATTTGTACGAGTGTGACGCGTGCGATTACAAAACCAAACTGAAGTACAATCTCATACGCCATCACCTAAAGCACAAAAACACCTCTGAGGTACCGGTGTACAAGTGTGATCAATGTGACTACGAATGTACAATAAGCAGTGATATAGCGAAGCACCAACTGAAACACAGAGATCCCTCAGAAAAGAGAATATACAAATGTAAATTGTGTGACTTTACAACCAAGCACCACAACAGCCTTTCACGCCACAAACTAACACAACACGTTTCCCAAGTGCCAATGTACATGTGTGACGAGTGCGAGTTCGAAACGAAGTACAAAGAAAGCCTTGTGTTCCATCAGTTGAGACATAAGGATATTTCCGACACACAGTTCTACATGTGTGATAAGTGTGATTATAAATCCAAGGTAAAGGGCGACCTTGCGAGGCACCAATTGAGACACAAGGATAGATCGGAAAAGCAACAGTACAAATGCGCTTCATGCGATTTCGTAACAACGCACCGCAGCAGTCTCAAGCGCCACAAATTAACCCACAAAGACATTTCAGAAGTGCTAATGTACACGTGTGACATCTGCAATTTCCAAACTAAGTATAAAGAAAACCTTTCGATCCATCGGATGAGGCACAAAGACATTCCCAGTGCGCGGTTGTACAATTGTGACGAGTGTGACTACGGAACGAAAATAAAGAGCGATCTTACGAAGCACCAACTGGTACACAGAGATCTCTCAGAAGAGCAAATATACAAATGTACATCGTGCGAGTTCGCCACCAGGCACAACGGCAGCCTCGCTCGTCACCAACTGACACACAAAGACATTTCCCAAGTGCCGACGTACCAGTGTGACGTGTGTGATTATAAAACAAAAGCGAAGAGTTACCTCACGACCCACCAGTTGAGACACAAAGACCTATCCGAAATGAAATTGTACAACTGTTGCGGGTGTGATTACGTAACCAAGCATAAGTCCGACCTTAAAAAGCACGAACTGACACACAAATGTGGTTCTGAAGTGCCGTTGTATTGGTGTGCTGTGTGTGACTACAGCACCAAGCAGAAGAGCAATCTGGTGCCGCATATGAAAAGGCACAAAAATCTGTCTGGGGGGGAATGACCGCTCTTAAAGTCGTCGGTGTAAATGGGGAGAGTTATGTACTAGGTGTCGAAATAAAAAAGGATAGGTCTTAGGAACAATTCCTTGTAGAATGTCGGGGAAAAATATCTTGCGCTCAAGAATTTTTTAATTCGAAATTTTTTTATTTTATTTTTTCAGAAATGTACTTGCGATAAGGTGAGGAAATTGTCAAAAAAAAATTCGGTTTTGCTTAAAGGAAATTAGCGAACTTAGTCTCTGTACTTTGAAAATTTTAAATCTACAGTGTTCAGGAATTTTATTTCCACAATTGTGGGAATGATTCCATGGGTCCTAAAAAAAATAATATAAGAATATTATTAATATTAACTCGTATGCCAAAATCCATATTGACAGGATGTGTAATTTCCATTCAAATGTACAGGGGACTTTACAAATACAATTTTGTAAAAAAAAAATCAAAGGACAATTAGAAAATGATTTAAAAATACACTTCTGCACTGCACTGGAAACTGGTCCACTCTAAAACCTGACTTTGCACAAAGCATGCAGTGGGCGACCGCCATGGTGGCAAAGTGTAATAAAAAATTAACACAAAAAATTGGAATAATTTCTTTCCCAAAGAAAGAAATAAATAAAATTTTATAACACCCATTTTATATCATCAAATTCAACTGCTTTTGCGCTATTGATATTATTAATTAATAAAATTAATTTATGGTTTAAATTAATAAAATAAATAATTTAACATACCTGATGTTAAAACAACTGCTCAAAATTTTGTCCACTGACTGTAAACACATTTGGATCCATCTGATTCACTTTCTACGAACTAACACAAATGTTCACCATAGCACAGATGTTATCTGGATTCACCATAAATTAAAACGATATCCATCAATTCCGAGTTGCTATACATGTAAGCTATTTGTGACACTTGAAAAACTAATGTAAACACTATCGCAACAATGACAATGTAAAATCGGATTTCAGTATTCGGAATCGCCTGGTGCCATGTGGGAGAATGACACTAGAGATTACAGTAGCCCAGTGATGTAAAGGTTGAAACTACTATAACTTCAAAAGTTGTTTTCTTGGAAATTATAAGGATTTTACAAAAAAAATTTTATTATGTTGATTCCATTATTCATGATGCATTTATTCCCACATTTTTTTTGGATAGGTTGTGAATCACTAGTCATTCTGATTTATACATTTACTGATACTGTAAAAATGTTATATTGTTTTTTGCACTGTATTGTAAAACGCATTAAGCTAATTCAAATTCAAACAATTTTTCTAAAAAGATTTTTTTAAGTAAAATTTTAAATGATATAATAAGTTTAAAAAAATGTATTGTTGTAGGTTGAAACTGGAATATGCCAAATTACAATGTAAATGTTTAGAATATGTGCAAGGTAGATTTCTGAAATATCCGTACTATAAAGCCAAAGGTATTTATCCTGAAATAACTTTTTGTCGTCAAACTCTTTTAGATAAATTCTCGTTGTGCGATTTGAACAATGGAAATGTTAAAAAAGAATTTCGTTGTTCATGACATGCTGTCAAGACAATTTTAATATACCTAAAGTTGCATCTTATTATAATGAAGTTTATTTTATAACATTGGATGAATGGTTTGCGATTTTCCCTAGTTTACCTAATATAATACATTATAATCACAATGCTATTTGCAATAATATTGATTTTTGTAAGTTTTGAATATTAAATCGTATATAAGAATTGATTAAGTATATCTTTGTTTTCCTTCCTATTCAGTTATATTTTTGTGTGCTCTATATAGATACTGATTAAGTTTTTAATTCTCATAGTGTTTTTTCTTTATATGTATTGTACCTACTTTTAACTACATTATTCGACCCAAAATCCTTTAGATTTTCAATATAACCCCACTATTTGAGGTATTTCTGCTTAGAAAAATGCAATGATTATTGGATATTTAAAATTTATTTATGAATTACAAAAATACCTAAACGTTTCGTACATAACAAATTATCAAAATTGATCAATGTTACACTCTGTTTCTGTACTTTCATATAGTGACCATGCGTGTTATTATGAATTAAATCTATGTACGCCACTGATTTTTTATAAAATTGCTAATAACGGGAGAATATTGCTTAGATGGTGACATCTGGTGACAGATATCAGAAGCTTAGTGAGATAGATTTTGGGCAGATAGGAGACTGACAGCTGGCTTGGTTGGTTCAACAGACAGACGCTAGGTGGGGGTCTCTTGTGGGCATTCAACGAGCAATCCGGAAAAAATCGGACAAAAATACAGTAGGGGTCTTTTAGTTTAATAATATTTAATCATAATAAAAAATTAATTTCTTTCAATAAATGAGTTCTACGTTTTAAACATGGTATATCTGATACCACATTCATGGAACTACATAATAAATGCACTTGACTGCAAGACAAAATCGGAAGTACAATATGAATTGATGAATAACTGTCATCCAAGGTTATTATTGTAGATCGACAGGATGCAGACTCGCCTGTCTGCATTCTTCGTTTAAACATTCTGCTCCGATCGTGTTGGCGAAAGTTCAAATTTTGGTGATACTACACAGGTCTAAAACAAAATACTTAATTAAATTCACACACTCTTATGTCTTCAACAACAATTACCTTTGGCACTTAATTGATGTTCTACGGAGTTCATTATGGTTTATTCTTTCACTTCGTTTCGTCGGTGTTATATGAACATATTATCGACATTCAACATTTTCGAACATTAGTCATTCTCATTCTAATTATGATTTTTGTAAATTAATATTCCAGCAAATACATATTAGCAATTAACTTCTTGATTTTTCTGAATGTACGCGCGCCAAGAAATGTTTACGATGGGATATACCGCTACCTCGTTGAAGTAGGTAATTAATTTTCCGCCTCCCTTTCACTTCGTATTCTCATATAAAAGCAGACTCGCTAACACTAGTGGCTATACTGCATCAGTCTCATCATGTTATGGAACTTGGTACTTTTATATAGGTATATGGATAAAAACAGGTAAGTGTATAATCTTTTTATAATTCAGCTAGTTACTAAATATTTTATTTGTTCCTAGAATGGGTCTTACAAAAACATAATGAACGGACGGTCCCTTTTAGCTTTCAAACCAACGAAGTCGACAAAAGATTTAGAGATTGGAAGAAAATATTCAATATCTAAAATAAAAAAAGTGAGTACAAAGTATGGGTAGCAGAGTTGGACCTAGTCGACCAATGGAAGAAATAGATAATTTGGAGTCTGAAGAAATTTGAAGATAATCCAATACAATTGTCAACCGCGGTGAGAAAAGCATACATGAAATTTTTCAAAAACCGTTGCCATAGATAATAATATACGATTTGAGTTTGAAAAATAACAATATGGATAATTTAAGTGATGATGTAGTAAAAATCGTTCGGGATTTTTATTTTTTAATTTAAGTCGTTCTAAAAATGTGAGAAATGAAACTTTACTAAAATATATGCTATTGTAACAAAATCGTTAGGTTGATGAATAATACGTTTTTAAAATAAAATATTGGCAATCTCTTGGCGGTATTTTTTTGGTGGCGGTTTATCCGAAAATAAAAAATTAAAATTAACACCGAAACTAAGACAACGAATTCGGTGGGAAGATGGAGGAACTCGAAATATTTTGTTTGTTAAAACGTATGGCAATAGATCGTACGTAGGGCAATTAAAATCATCCCAATTTTCCTCTTCTCTAGTTCCAGTTGTGGCGTGGATTTGTTTTTTTTACTAGAATTTTCAAATCCAATATTTTGCGTCATTTTTACCGCCAAAATCTGAAACATAAGTTGATTAAATCATTAATTAATACTTCAGCCTTAAAAAATATGTATCTCTGCACCAAGAAACAGTGGAAAAAGTGAACTCTTTAAATAATAACTGTTAACGGTATGAAATTGATTATTAATATCTGTGAATACAGGGTGATTCAGTCATAATGTTATTAATTTTAACCAGGTATTCGGAAGGCCTAATATAAACACACAAAATCGAAAAAAATACATTACTCTACTTTTTAAAAAATAATCAAATTACCTCTAAACTCCCGTTAATTTGGCGCCCTATTTCGCATCACATCAAAAAAATTTCTTATTCATACATGTGTCTAGGTAAAAAGATCTGTTTTTCCCTATCGTTCACTAGTCATTACGGATTAAAAACGCAGTTAAAGCTAGGTTAGTGACCGAATAATACGGTAGGTCAAGGTTCACTTTCGATAAACCTTTGTGGATCAACGGTCAGGAGTGGTCCGGAAAGGGGTTTAATAATGATTTGAAAATGTTTCTTCCAGCGTAAATATGAATTTTAAAATTTTGTATTTCACGTATTCGTATTAATTTTTCCCTACCATCCCTTAAAATTAATGCAATTAATCACATTATAAGAACAAATATAGATTATACATACTTAACGAGTGTTGTTGGAGATAACAATATATAACTATACTGTGACCTCAGAAGAAATTTTCTGTTTATATATACAAACTCTGAAAGACATTTTTATTGAAAGTCAAACGTACTGTGCTCTAATAGCCTCATTATTTCCTCGCTTGCATTCTACATGCAGATACATTTCAAGGTCAGTTGCACTATACATTAGCTGAAGTACCTAGTTTTAAAAATATTTACTACATTCTAAACCACACAGAACATTAGATACGTTTTATATATTCAGACTGAATGTATAACTAGAAAAATTACTACTTCAATATCCAAACATTCACCTCTGAGCGTAAATCTTACGTCAAGATGATGAATGACCGTTAATTAGGTCAACTCTCGGGTCAACCGTTAGTGAACGGCTTAGCCGGCGTCGACCGAGTCGAGATACCGTAAGTGAAAGCCGCGTTGTACTGTTGTCGTACATTCCGTACATTTTACGATTACAGGGTGGTCCAAATACTAAGGATCAGTTATCGATGATCCCATATTCGGTTATTTTGAACCAGAAATATCTTTTCAGCCATCATCTTCAAAATCAAGAAGACGCATCTCGCGCGCATATGCCGGGGATCCCCACCTTCACCTCAAAATTATGCTAATTGATTTTGAACCCGCGTAGCTTCTAATATTAAATTTGCCAAACATTGTCCTTAATTTTTTAAATACAGAAATGTATGTATGTGTTTATTTGTCTTACAGAAATCTATTTTATTTTCAAAAACGTTTAATAATTTTCAATTTTTCGGCAAACAACCCTTGATTGGTTCTTTCAGCACAAGAGTTTATTTTATTAATTTTCTTTGCAGGCGACACAATATTCAAAATAAACAGAGAAAAACTAAAGATATGCCACAAAATAAATAACGTCGGACAATATTTTACGTAATAAGTTGACATTAAAATGTGAGAGAAATTTTATTTGAAAGTACAATAAAAATATTTTTGGCTTATTTTAACAAAATAAAGGGTGTCCAAAAAGTAACGCAGGATTTGAATTGTGCGCCTGTTTCATTCCGAAGAGTTGGCAGCATTGTGTAGGGTTACGTCACATAAGTTACGTGTATTATACTAAACACGTTGGTACATACGAAATGGGCAATTAAGGTATAACATCAAGATATAACATATAAGGTTATATCTTACCCACACTCAAAACATGTCGGGAGAGTCATTTAAATAGTTAGATTATACTGATGAGAACTAATAAGTTCAAAATTGGTGTCTGTTGACTTTGCTAACGAATTATTTGAGTTGTTCACTAGATATTGCAGCAGAGTAGTTATTTGACACTGTATAACTGACTTTTGCCTTTTCATATGTGTGTTTGACGGGCCAACGATATGAAAGACGCAAAAAGTTGCCCTGACGTGGCATTTCAACAAAACATTGTAGCTCCACTAGTTTATTTATTTTTATATAATATTACTATTGTACTAATTATGCTTAACATGTATTAATATGTAATTTTAATAATAGTTTATATGAATGAAAAGTGCGGCTTTTATTGCTTTTAAAAATTGGGTGAACTCGCCTAAAATAAGAATTTAGAATAAAACTTTGGTGCAGATAAATCTTATATATAAAATTCTCGTGTCACAATGTTCGTTCCCGTACTCCTCCGAAACGGCTTGACCGATTCTCATGAAATTTTGTGAGCATATTGAGTAGGTCTGAGAATCGGCCAACATCTATTTTTCATACCCCTAAATGTTAAGGGTGGTCCACCCCAAAATTTTTTTTTTTTGGACAAAATTTTCTGTTTTTATTTTTTCATTATTCAGCATTGAAAAATACATACAGTTCTAAATTTTCACCCTTATACGATTTTTATATTATTTTGTTCCATCCACAGTTCCACAAGATGGCAAGACAACGTTTGCCGGGTCAGCTAGTAGAAATATAAAAAGGTGATAAGCTTAAAAATAATTTTAGCTTTTACACCTAGATAAACAGGGGCCTATGAGAAATTAAACCTAGTAATCTGCAATTTTTAGACCTAGTCTTCAATTTTCAATTTAGACATAGATAAAAGTTAAAAATCACTAAAAATGTGTATTTTTCAGCAACCAATAGTTTTAAAACTAGTAGAGAGTACTGGTCCCTATCTTTTTATCCATTTTTATACTTACCATTTTCTGACAATGCTTTCCATACAGTTTCCTTCCAGTTCTTAGCATTGATTACAAAGATTTTTAATTTTTTGTAGCAATAAAATTATCTGTTAGTTTTCTATATTTTGTTGCACAGTAAATTAAATATTTTTAAATGATGTCATAAAGTAAATAATTGAACACAAGTTTGTAAAGCATATTTGCAACATTTTGGGTGATCCCACTTCTAATTATTTTTTTTTTGTTTAATTACAAATAATACATTTTTTTATTACTTTAACTCTTTGATTTCAGTCAATATTCAACTTGTTCAATATGCATGGCTTGTATTTAAGATTTTACAATTTTTAAAGAAAAATTGTAAATAATTTTATTTTTTTTTGAGAGTAGATATTGTAGGAAAAAAGGCAATTTCAAGTTAACAATTTTTTATTTTTCAACGTCACAAACTATTTCATGGACACTTCGACAAACATTAAAAAAGGAACATTATAATACAAAAAATTATTAATGAGTACAGCTAAATTGATTTGAATTTGAGGAATAGGAATATATGTATACAAACGCACACAAAGTTTGTTACCATGAAATTTCGTTTTATTTATTGAAAACTTTAATTGTCGGTCAACTTCTAAATATCTTCTATTAAAAATTAATTTCATGTATGTTATGTTCATTTATTTTCTTTGTGAAAAAGAGGGTTACTATGATTGTTACTAGACATCAAGACTTTATCGATTTCAATTTTATTTTTTGGTTTCAGTTTATAACAACATTCACTTTTATAATCAATAGGGTTGTTGACCAAATTTCAAAAAGTAGATAATATAATTCTACACCTACTAATTAGTGTGTATGCACAATTAGAGATTGAGAAATGCGTCGGAACAGATTTAAAATAATTATTTAAAACTGATTTTTTTATAACATTTCAAAACGGCTGTGACGTCATAAGGGGTACCTTGTAGTGAAATAATGTGTAAATGATTGCGTAAAGGAAAAAAATTGGAGGAAGAAGATGCTCTCAATACTGTCAGTAGTGTCAGTCTGTCAGTGATGTTGTCGCATAAAATATTTTCAAGTCTACGAGTTATTTTCTTAATTTTCCAATTCCTTTATTAAGTAAAGTTATTATTTAGTGATAATCATTTAATATCTTCCTTCCCTTAGAATTAAAGCAGAATGTGTGAAACGGGATTTGTGAAAGCTACTTCGCAAATTTTATCGAAAATTGATATTTTTATGATCATGAATTGAATTTTTAAAAAGAGATGACCTTTTTAATATTGGCGAAATCAGAGATATAAAAGCAGTCAGGTAAGGATTAACATATTTAATGAATGATTTTATTGTGTTTATTTATAATATAAATAATAAATATAAATACCTATTTATTTACGGAAAATTATAGTGCAGTTCGGGAGTCTTATGGAGATAATGCAATTGGCTATGTGGAATGTGGAACAAAACACCACTTAAATTTTATTGAATCTATTATAATCAGGAAATTAATAATAACTATCACAAATACTCTTAATTGATAGACTGCTGTCACTAGTGTCACTACTGTCACTTATGTTTAAAAACAGGAAACAGGGCATCAGGGTTTGATGAACAATTTGGAATAATTTTCTTCTTCTTCAAAATTATGCAATAGGATCGCTACTAGCTTCTTGTTCAATTGCCCCTTATGACGTCAGACTAGTTTTTAAGTAACACAAAAATTCATAAATGATTTCTACCACTAATTTATCATATATTTAAAATTTTACTATACAGGCAGGTTCTTTTATATAAAATCTTTGTATCAACAACAATTTGTATATGGTTTGTTTTTATCGTCAACAACCCTATTCTCATTAAGCTAATTCAAACAAATTCAGTTTTTTTTTTTTGAGTAAGAAATGTTCCCTCTTTCCGACTTCGTCTATGAACACACACATTGTATTTTATATCACACGTGAGCGACAACCACTGAAAGAAATAATGCTGATTTCAGAATTTAATTAACTTGTAATTTTGAAGAAAAACATATTTCCAAGATATATCGATCACATTGTACATTTGCACATCAGATTACACTTGTACATTTGAACTTCTAATGGAATATGTGCAAATTTAAGTGCTTGTTCATGAAATCTCACGTATATACCTTTCTCCCTCAACTTATGATGCATGGTATTGAACTTACATTTGGATTTGTTATTCCACGAATCACACTGATACACTTCAAAGATGGTTCATGAGATTGTTCTCGTAATTGGATATTTAGTCACACACGTCACACATGTTCATTTGAATTTTTGATAGATACTTATTTGTGTTTTTACAAATGACATAACTGTTTGTCTTGTTTGTACATTTGATGTTAGTTGTCTTTATGCCATGGCTGGTGGCAAACAATATTGATTGTATTCTGAGCTCTGAAATCATGTCACACATGTACATTTGCACTTCACTTATGTCCTTATGTCCCTGCCGATGGCTTAAGAGGTTATCCTCATGACTGGACTTATAGTCACACACATCACACATGTACAATTGAATTTAGGGAAGGTCTTTATGTCTCTGGTGATGGCGTATATGCGACTTTAAGTATTTAGTTCTGAAATCACAAGTATCACACTTGTACATCTGCTCTTCAGAGAAACTTTTGTGTTTTAACTGATGCTGCGTGAGATTGAACTTACGCTTGGTTCTGTATTCACATGAATCACACTGATGTACAGGCACTTCGGAAAAGTCTTTATGTACGAGCTCGTGCCACTTGAGGTTCTTCTTATGTCTTGTTTCGTAAGCACAAGAGTCACACTTGTACATCTGGATTTCTGAAAGGTTTTTGTGTATCAACTGATGGTTTATGACGTTGTCCTTGCGGTAGGACTTATAATCGCACACGTCACACGTGTACATTTCAGAGGGGTCTTTGTGTTTCTGTTGGTAGTATAAGAGCGATTTTAAGTACTTGGTTTGGAAATCACACTTAGAACAAGCGTGTTTCTTTACTTTCAGAGGGTCTTCGTGTTTTAGATGGTGTTGAGTAAGATTATTCTTGAACTTGGTTTTGTAATCACAAGAATCGCAATTGTACGTGTATACTTCGGAAAGGCATTTATGTGTCATCTGGTGGCGCTTAAGATTATTCTTGTACTTCGTGTTATAATCGCATGTATCACATTTGTACAACTGTGCGTTCGAAAGTTCTGACTGCAGTGAGTTTAGATCACTTTTGGCTTCAGTTTTGCCTTTAAGGGTTTCGGCATCATTAAAGAAAGGAACGTTACTGAAATAAAAAATATAAATCATGTCCAAGTAAATAAAACCTGTAGGGGCTTACTTATCTGTAGAGTCTTCTTCAAGTTTTATTTCAATTTCTTCACTCTTGATGCAGAAAAGGTTCTCTGTGACCTGGTCCTCATAAATAGTTCTTATTTCATCCTGTACATCGAAACAATTAGTTTCGTTTTTTTCAGGTTTAATTTCAATCGGTTCGCTTTTAATCCAGAACGGATTCCCCATCGCCTTGTTTTCAGAAATAATTTTAATATCCTCCTGCATATTTAAACAGCTCTTTAAGAAACCACAATGGATATTCAACGAATCATAACATAGCGAACATATAACTGGTTCTTCAGTGTAGCTAAAGTTCTGCAAAAGCCAAACAATTTAATATTAAAAACTCTAGTTGTTAATTTTTTTAATATGAGAAACAATATTACGTACTGCTTCTGGAAGATATTTAGAAAATATGTCAGCCTCCATTTCTATCACTGGTGTAAATGCACCTGCGATTGTCTCCATACATAATCGACAAATTATATCGTCTTTTAATACAGTTCTTAGGTGTTCTTTACCTTTTTTCCTTATATAAATCTCTCTCAAATCAACAGAAGCCACATTTTGAGAATTAACATATGAAAAAATACTGTCCTCAGTTTCTGTACAGGTTACCTTGAATTTATATGCTGCTAACAGTTTTATGGAACAGGCAATGCATATCACAGGTTTAATGTTTTCTTCTACACTCTAAAAATAATCGTGAGGAAAAAAACAATGATAGTACACTTAATATACAAGATATAGTATATTAGTTTATGATTTTTTCCTACCACTCTTAAGTGAAGAAAATCTAGCTGTTCTGTTACAGTTTCCTCTATTGTTCTTACATTGCCATCAGTTATGGCATTAAGGCAAATACTGCAAGACGATATCTCAAACTTTTCCATTTATATTTTTATTTGTTAAAAGATAAATGTCATTGATTACCTTATATTATTCTAAGTTTTAACCTCACAAAAGCATGGAATACGAAGCATCATACTACAGAACAGGGAGACTAGATAAGGAGCACGAACTCATACGGGAAAATTGACAAAATTTGTCCAAGAAATGGCAGAAGTTGGGGTGGCGCTAGTGTTCCATGTGACCCAAGTGAATGTAGCATAATAAATACGAGTGAAGTATGCAAATAACCAATTTTTGAGTTTAGTAGATATATCGAGGAGGTATACTAACCTAAAAACTAGAAGTCAAGTCATTACAATTTGTTTTTATAATGGTAAATAAAAAATTTCAAAAATAATTTAAATATGGTAATAGTGTGAATAAGTGAATGACTGTCAACAGATTTAAAATAAAACTACGTTTGTGATCTGCATTTTCAATCTAGTGATGTCCAGCAGTTCTATATTACAATTTGACCGAATAGTGGGTTAATATTATGGCAAAAGGTCGAATAATTCGGAAGTTGGAAGCAGCAATAAAATTACGATGAATTTATACTAGAAAGTGAGCATCATGTCCTGTATAATCTAATAAAAGAAAAGTTCTGTTGGCGTGTGATGAGGTCTCGACAAAGCAACGATGAATATGTTCACATAATATTGACAATAGCAACAAAGTATACTTTATTTATTTCTACATATTCTTGTAATTTATATTACGTGCATAAATAATTAAATT